CCCAGTTTCTCGGCGCGCGCGAATGAGCATGCGCAGTCGTTTTTCAGTTCCCGGCTTTGTTGTAAACGCGACGTTGCGCATGCGTACCTGGCCATAACAAACAAAATGGCTGACGGAATCGCGCGGGACGAACTCACTAAACTGCGATTAAAAGTACTCGAAAAAGTGAGTGAAACTTGAAACTTCATGTATGTGGTTGTACGGACATCATCAATATTTCTTGTTGTTAATCAACAGAAAATTAGAAGTCAGTCAAGCAGGCACAACACGGGGCTTGAAGTTTATCATTCCGCGGCAGCCAGTTCTTCCAGCGGTGAGATAAACTTACTAAGTTTTTTGAAGTAAAAGATTTGTGGTTTTTTTTGTAGCTTTCATTAAATTTGAGGATAGGAATCAATTTTAACAAGGGTCTAACAAGTTCAACATGTCGTGCAGACATTTGTCTATATTATCAATGATATGCCTATTTTGTTCCTTTTGGACTTGTATGATTGTTCACTGTGTTTCGGCATAGTTAGTACTAGTAGCTATGGTTTCAGCAGGAAGGAAGGCGAACGCATTGAATACCTGTGCTTTCGCAGTTTCATTCTGTCAAGCTGAAATACCCTGAACTTCAATAAAGCAATCTTAAACCACCATTACCTATAATAACTTTCGACATTGTTGTGTAGGACAACCTTTCTTGAAACGGGTGTATATTTTTGCTGACGAGTAGTCCACAAATATTTTAGGTCAGTAGGCTAAGAATGTATGTTGCAATGAAACACCTCAAAACACCTCCAACACTTTCCAGCCGTAGTATGTTCAATGTATTATTGATGGTCAACAAACGAAAGCACAATCACTGGTGAACAAGTTGTGGTCATCAAAACAGGTCACCATAGCAACACTGTGAAATCATTTTCATGTACATGTTGGAAAAATTACAAACTGTCCATTACGGAAGCAGCTCATCATGCTCATAGTTTAGTCTTTTAGATGGTCAACAAAATTTTATGTCTGTTGAAAAATTCTGACAACTTTAGTTTCCTTGTTGTCTGACAGTTTTTTCCCCTAAGCAACATATTTCCCAGAAAGTCAAGAATTGTTGAGGTCACTTATTTGATAGATTGTTTATTTCAGAGTCTACTTGTTGCTTCTTTTGGAAATGGCTCAAACAAAGAACCATTTTTTTTTTGCCCAGGAAGGTTGCTTTCTTTCAGAATTTAACAGTAATTTATTAAAATAACTATTTCTCTATCTGCATGCAGGTTTCCAACAGTTGTTGCAAGTGGAAACTCTCAAGAGTGAACAACTTCTTCAAAGAGTGAAAGTATGTGTCTTGTTGCTAGTCTGATTTTGCGTGTACAAGTGTGATGATTATGTTATGTATCTTCCATGTGGTAGTTGACAGCATGGACAACAACTTCTAAATATTACTTGCAGCTTCCAAATTTTCAGGCAATTCTGACTACAGAACTGTTAAATTTATGTTATAAAATAAATGACCAAAATGTGATTCAAACATGATCTTATTTTTGTTCCAAAAGAATGAGAGGCAACATCAGAAGACACATCCAAAGCAAAATCATAATGGTGACAATATGAAAGGTAAGTCTTGATTGTGGTTAGTAACAGCTTCCTGCAGCTGGAAAAGCCAATGAGGATTGTCATAAAGTTGGTAGAAAAAAAGAATTTACAGGTTTTTGGGATGTAGAAATTTAAATAATGTTCTGAGAGTGCCAAGAAATTAGAAAATGTTTGGCCTAATTCTTGTTTCCAATAACACCTTTTTCTGGAAATGACAAAAGAAATTTAATTGGCAGACCAGTCAGACCTAAAAAATCGAGATCATAGAGATCATCCTTTGGGAGGGATGTTTAGTTAATAGTGGAGTTGTTTGATTTACAACTACCACTGTGCTTGTTGGATCTGGAAGTTACTCGTCAGATGGGCTTCTCAAATTGTACTTCACAGGCCTAATTACTATAAGAAATACTTGAATGATCTATTCCACCTTTAATATTGATGCAGAGATGATGACCATGATGATGTCCCAAAATATGCAACTTCAGCAGCTATTATTACATCAGATGATTCCACTGTCAGCAGGACCACATGCGACAGAAAGCACAGAACACAGGTAGCTATTAAGGTCACACACAACCCTTGCTCATTTAGTAAAATAACCAAAACCAACTGGCACCAGTTTTGTGAACCTCATATTGCTGTAGAAGTTTTTGTGGAGCACTAGGCCTCCATGCTTTAATTACCAATCACTTTGTACTTCTTCTCTTGCGGGTACACAGGGGTTTCAATAATAGCCGGGTAGCGGGTACTGATCTTCCCGCTTGTAATAAGTGGACTACCAGCTTGTAGCCATCCTGGGTAGCCGTACACAAATAACTAAGACCAGATAATTTCCTCGCAGTTAAGGATTCTCTTCAAGAAATTTGGCAAAATAAGTCTTATGTTATAGGTAAAGAAAAAGAAAGGTACAAGAAACAACTTTCTAGCGTTAACCCAGCCTTTTGGACCACGAAAGATGAAGGAAAGTGTAACCTAACGCACAAGAACAATCGCTTCAATATGAAGTGAAAAAAATGTGCCAGGCACTTCTGCTGAAATCGAGAGGAAACTGGAACTAAGTATGAATAAATGCAATTGTTATTAGCATATTTCGCTCTAGCGTCAAAACAAAAGAGGTCGAAGAAGATTCTTCACAAGGTTAGTTGAGTATATTGAAAGGGACACATTTCGGTGTTTAAGCTTTAATATTATGCTTCTTTTCATGGTGAAATATGATGCATCATTCATGAATCAATTTGAATACGAAGGATTAAAGTACGACATGTTTTCAACCTCGTCTTTCTAATTGATTGACTTCTTGGACCTCTTGATTAGGATCGGAGCTATCCTATAAATTAAATGCTTTCATTCTCTGAAATTACTACTTTGTAGTTCAGTTAACAGTTACATCACAAAACTTGTGACGGCAAGCAAGGCAATTTAAGATAACATCAATATTAATAAAGTTATGTAGTAATTCCTTTATCATTCAATTCATCATTGATGCCTGTGCCGCCCGTAACTGCCTGTGATGATCGCTGGGCTTTGTTCTACTTCTGACATCATCACCTTTGACCAAAATTGGGATCACTTGCACTCAAGTTCTGCAGGAGGAAAAGATCTTTCCAGTGATACCCAGGTCAGAGTGATTAGGTAAATTGAGCATGGAATATGCACAAAAATGTTTAGAAATATGAGTGAAAAATTCAGAGCAAAATTTCCCTCTACTACACTTGGCTACTTCTGTCTTGATGATGCTTTTGTAGGAATTCTTGAACTGGAAGCAAGCCCATTAGTAGGTCAACAACTGCAGCAAAAAGATAAGAAAAGGAGAAGAAGGAAAGGTGAAAAAATTTAAAAAAAAACACACAAAAAGCCTGAAGACATAAGACACTTTCTCGTCTAAAACTCAAAATTTTGATTTCTGCGCATACCTGAGCAAAAATGTCGTAGATTGTGATGTTAGTGGAGAGAAAGGCATGCTGTCATGTTGCAAATGCCTTTTTGAGTGGATTGGAGCTAATTTAGCTCATATCCAGACTAAAAATGTCCAAAATGTCCAAATCTCCAGGTGTCAATGGGTTAAAAAAGAAACAAAACTTAAAACCTTGAAGTTGGTATTCTGCTACCACAAATTCACAAACATTAAAAATCCCTATTTAAATCCAGCCACCCCCAAAAATACTTGTCAATTTTGCTACCCCCAAAACTACAGAATTGAAGAAAATTTCATACCCAAAAACATCCTTCAATAATCCTTGTCACTTGAAATCCATAGTACCCCCGGCCCTCTTGTTCCATGTAAAATACTACAGTCGAACCTCCATTATCTGGACTCGTCGGGACCTCGGTAAATAGTCTGGATAATCGAGAGTCTGGATAATCGAAAACATGAATATTAATGAGATAGAAATGTAAACAAAAGGTATACAGCAAAGAAAACATCAGTTTAATTGTGAAATCTACACAGCCTGTATGTATTTACAAATAAAAACTTTCAGTTCAGTTATTTACAAAGGTCTGAAATGTTCAAGCATGTTTGTTTACGTCAAAGACTTGTAGCTTGATCGCATTGCGAAGTCCATCATTCGTCTTTTAATAGCTGCATTAACTGCACAGGGTCAATATCGTTCTGTGATTCCATCCACGACAAGCATTTTTTGAAACATTGCGCTGCCTCTTTAGTCGATACTAGTTCCCGCCCTCATCTTCCTCATCGCTACACACACTTTTCGCTTTCCGTCGAATCTCCGACGACGGTGGCTAAAATCTCTTCATCAGACATTTGCGGTGAAGTCGGGAGCTCGTTTTCCAGATTAAGCCAATCTTCCACATCGCGAGCATTAGGCATTTCCTGATTGTCAAGTTGCTGTACATGTTCCAACATTTCAGCATATAGCAAATTTACAATACAAGACTCTTTCAGGCTCATACCATTTGGGGTGGTCTATTTGACTTTTGAGGGGCATGGGGTGATTGGTATAGGGCTGGCGAGAATTTTTTTTTAACCCTCTCATCCACATTTTTTTTTTCAGCAGTGCTACAGGCATGCTTGCAGGATTATTTTTCTAAAATCACCCCCCCCCCCTCAAAAGTCAAGTGGTCCACCCCTTAGGTTGGTTGATATGCATCGCTGGGATGTGCAAATGTCACAAAAACCACTTGGAAAGAATTCTTTTTGTGATAAGGGCAGTGACCGAAAAAATGTGAGTAAATGGATAAGTGTGGAACCAATTAACACCAGTCAAGACTGCAGTGGTTTTACAATTTTACTGCAGCAGTAGAATGTTGTGAACATAGAATGGCAAGATTTTCATGAATGTTCTCTTACTGAGACAGTGTCTTTTTTATAACAAAGCCTCACATTAATTTATGAAAGCAATGTTTTATAGTTAAATATAGTTTTATTTGTAAATCCATTTTGTGTTTCTTATACTGGTACCTTTTTCATGTTTTCCAGCTTGCCAAAAGTGAGAACGTTGGAGGATGAACAAATTGGTAACCAAGAAATGACACCATTTACCTCCCTCCCAGTTAACAGACATGTCGAAAAAGGTACATTGTTCTGAAAAATAATTTGGTCTTTTTTGTGAACTCTACATGTATACATTTGCATAGTACATTGTGCAGTATATATGCGTTTCCAATTTTTTAGTTTTTAAATGTTATAAATTTATGTCACTCTTCTTTCTTCATTGGCTGCCTGTCTCATATCAGATCATGTTTAAGCATCTTCTTTTAGTCTATAACTAACTGAATGGTCTCTGCCTGCATTATCTAACAGAACTCCTGGAACATCAGAAATCATTTAGATCTCTTTAGTCGAACTTTCAAGACCTGCCAATGCATCCAAATTGTAAAACCAAAACATATAGTGATAGAGCTTTTTCTGTATGTGCTCTGAAGATTTGGGACACTTTTCCTTTGGAAATGCGACGATCCAGTACAATTTTATCATTTAAGAAAAAACTCAAGACCTTCCTTCTTACTAAATTTATTAAGAGTAACTCTTATCGTATTTTTAATCTTTTTAGATTCTAGTTTTTTTTAGTTATTTTACTAGATTTAGTTTGTAAGTAACTTATTGTAAAATTGTAGTTTTTAGGGATAATTTTGTTGAGTGCCTTGGGCAAATAATGGATGTGTGCACTATAAAAATGAACTATTATTATTATCATTATTATTATTATTATTATTGATTATTGATCTAGTTTGAAGGTTGTACCATGTGATACATAATGAGCATTTTCCCGTTGACTTAATTGTCCCAAAAGTAGAGCATGCAGACACAGTATGGGCTGAGAAAGCAAGGTTAATGAGATATACCAGTATATCTCAATCTGGAAACAAAAATGCCACAAGACTGAGATATAAGGGTATATCTCATTAACCTTGCCTACTAAGTGAAGTGCACATGGCCTGAGTATGGCACTTATTCTCTGATCAAAGACAAATGGATGATGTCCAGTTAAATATAATTATTTGCTTTAGACAACAGTCCTTAATGCAATTTGAATCCAAACTTGAACTATTTTATTTACAAGTACAATTTTTACAGTTATGAAAGCATCAAATCAGGATGAAATATCTTCTGAGGACAACTGTGAAAAAAGTACCTTAATCAACTTACCATTTACACACACTGTACAAGTCAAACTTTCCAATATTTCCTCCAAAGGTAGTCTATTTATTTTGGTATACCTAAAATATTCGAAAGGTTGAGTGCTTTTGTCCAGTACTTTAAAAAGTAGTGTTGCAAGTTCCTCCTAAAGCTGTCCAGTATCCAGGCAAATAGCCCAGTTTCTGTCAAAATGTAATTTGTAATTTATAGCTTTTGGTATTTTGGTGGTTGTTAATGTTGTCTCCCTTCTACATGTTATCTCCCTTCAATTTGTAAATAACAGCTGGCTTAGTAGAAGATTAAAGTCAGGTGGGTCTTCGTGTCAGTCTAAGGGTCTTCGTTATATTCTTAGGTATCTTTGGTCTGGGGTATTTTTGTGTCTTCATTTTACAAACACCCCAACATACAGTATCTCTTTGCTGAATGAAAGGCTACACAAAAAAGCAGGTCTGGCTCCAGTTGTTCAAAGGATGGATAATGCTGTCCACTGGATAAATCGGTATCCAGCAGAGAGTGTAGTTAATTTTACTGACACTATCCACCCTTCAAACAACCACTTCCTTGAGAACACATTGATTTTTTTATCATCTTGATAAAACTTCACTCACATGGAAAATTGGCATATTTCATACCAGTTCCTAGTTCCATATTATGTACTTATTATGTACTTATTTTGTTGCTTGTATGCTAGAAAATGTGTTGTTAGTTACACTTCAGTGGGAGGTGAGGGGTAAACGTGAGACTTTGCGAAAAGGCAAGACTGGCATTTTTCTTTGTGAGTCCGAGACTTTTCAACTTGTGAGACTGAGACTTCAAAGTACTGTACTTTAAATGCAACCACAAAAAGTTCAGACTCTACATAAGACTTTCTAAATCAGATGCCATTTGTAAAACCAAACAAAAATTTGGGACTTTGAGACTTTCTTAGCGTCAGAAAAAACTGAGACTGTGAGATTCACATAACCACTAAAAAAACAAGACTGCGAGACCACAGTTTTTTTTTTGGTTATGCCCACAGGTTTTGAAGGACCATTCACCACAAGGACCATTACATGATACTCATTGTCAATCTAATATTTTTCAGCCAAACCTCCTCCTTCAGTAAAGTGGCCACTAGTTCCTGCTCAAAGGAAGCCATCACCAAAACCACTGGTACTAACTACTCCAAATAACCTACCCTCAAACCTGTCTGCCACTAGTGGACACCATTTAGGAGAAGCAATTATTATTTTTACATTTTATTATTATGCTTGTGGGAAGCTAAAACAGATCATGTTTACGTAGGTTGCCTGGACTCATATGTTGGTCGATTTATCAGTCAAGAGTCGGTCGATAGTCGACCAATATCTTGATAGCCTGCGATCGCAGACGTTATTTTTTGGCGAAACCAAGTGACAGCCGGAAATACATCTTCGTTTGTAGGCTAATATCTCGACTGATATATTGACCGATATACAGACCAACATAATTATCAGTCAAGACTACCTACAGTGAACATGATCCACTAAAACTGTAATATTTGTTTGTGACTGCTCTTAGTGGCAGAGTGTCCGCTTACAAGAAGGGAAGGTGTCCGTTAGTGGCAGTTCAACTGTACTTGTTAAGCTATACAATTTTCTCTCCAATCCATATATTCATGATAACTCTAGCCAATAGGTAAACCAGCAAATCAGAATCTTTTCATTGCTGGTTCAATGTTTTCTATGATTATTAGACTTTGTTGTTGGTTCATGCCTTGCTCCGAGGGTTTTCCTCCCTCCACTAAAACCAACACTCCGCATTCCAATTTGGCCAGGATAGAGGACCTGCAGGAAAACCAAGACTGATGTGGCTTCCTCCTTAAATGTTGAATTTTTTTTTTATATGACTGGGTGAAGTTTTGAGTTCTTTTGAGTTATCAATGTTGTAATTATTATCAAAACTGTTCCAAACTGAACTGGAGTAAAATCAGTTCTTGTTCTGTACAAACTTCAGTGCACTCGATCACAGTTTAGCTACTTATGCTTGGCAAGTATATTCAGGTGTAATCCTCAGGAGGGGGTCGCTAAACTAAAACCAATCAGAATGCTGGATTACCACTCATATTGTTTTCTAAGTATTGGACCAGGTAAAGTTTCTAGCTGTTCATCACTATGAAGAATGTCAGCCCTCAGTCATTTCAATATAGATCTCTCTTTGCTTGAATTGTTCTTCCTATCAACACCTACATGTAGGGCTTATTTTCTTCCAGTAGAGCCATTGACTTCTTCTGGGTATTATTAGGTGCCAAGAGGTATTGCAAGTCCTGTCAGACCAACAGGAAGAATGCCTGAACCTCACATGAGACCTCAAACCACTGTAAAGCCTGAAGGATTTCTCAACCAAGTTTCTAGGGATGAAGACCAGTCATATCCTTTTCCTGGTCCTAGCAGAGTGCGGAAGCTACGGCATTTTGGTTATGTAGTCTGGGCATGCTTCATTCTTATATCACTCTCAAAAGAAGCAGCTCAGAGAAGACTGAGTGCCATGGAACATCTAAATAGTCTTATGAACCAAGCTATTGAGGAACTCCATACAAAACACTACCTAGACCATGATGGTTCTGTTTACTCCACACTCCAAGATGCAGTTAAGGATAGTGCTTTTGATTTGAAAGTGAAAAATACAGGTGTTTTTCAGAGGCTTTCACAGAACTCTCAAACTGCTTTCATTGAACTTTCATCCATGATTGAAACTATTGTTTATAACGTGATTCAAATTAAACCTCCATATGGACTTCTCAGTGCTACACATGAGGGTGTCCTGTGGCATATGTTACAGGAAGATTCCCCTCTACCACCAAACTACCTTTGGCAAGTGGAAAAGGTATTGTGTAATATACTAGATATTAAGCTAAGCCTAAAAGCAGAGCTCATGTGAAATACTAATCACATACTCGACACAGTAATTATATAACCTTTATTATTATATGACTTGCTTCGTGAGCAGGCAAGGCCAACTAAATCCTGCACTGTGAATAGGGCTACGTGGACGGGCAAGATGGCGCTATCTTACCTGCTCGGGATTATGAGTTGTGTCCCTCTAGAACAATCTTCCCCCAAGCCAAGGCAGGTTCATCAAAGTCCATAGTTGTAATAAATCTTTTATTGACTAAGCTTGCTTGGTCAAGATGGCTGGACATTGGTGTCATTCTTTTATTAGGTGTTTTAAGACCTCAACTCCATCTTGGTCCATAAACACGCAAAAAAAGAACTTGGCCAATATCCAGCCATCTTGAGCTCATGCTTGGTCAATAACCCATAGTTATCATAACCTGTATCTTATGTCTGCACTAGAATCTCAAGAAATAATGGTATACTTGAATAATAATTATTGCTGAACTTAGACATTTCTTAACTCTTTCACAAATGAAGCAACTTTATTATAGCATCATTTTCCCTACATTTCATTAACCATCTTAGCATGGGGAAGTGCATATAAATTCCACATAATTTAATAAAGTACAAACTAAACAAAATCACTCCATCGGGCTTACATTCTTTCAAAGAACTTTTGGCCACCAGGCGGGAAGCGAATTCCCCTTACCTCGCTAAACTTATTAGATGTTCTCACAGTATATAATGTGTATAGACTCCAAGCTCTTAAATTCATCCATCTTTGGGACGAAGGCCTCCTACCAAGATTTCTTTCAATATATGCTAGTTAAGTGCACAGATACCATACCAGACATGCATACCAATTCTGTATAACAAACAAGAGCTGACACAGTGACTATTCTCTGAGACAATATCCCCACTCACCTTAAAGATCGCAATGCCTTCAACTTCCCTAAACAATTGAAATTTTATTTACTGTCTGAACAACATTCTGGAAACTTGTTAAGAGTATTGATTTTCTCCATTCTATTATACCATGTACACATCTCTTCTCTTAAGAGTTCTGTATTCTTTTATATATCTGTAGAAACCTTACATTAACTGGAGACTGACTAGAAAACTATGGGATCACTTCACTCTCCAGACTCAAATTGTACTTTTTTTCTCTGTCCTTCTAATAATTATATGTATGTTTGTAAAATAATTTGTAAATGTTGCATGAATGAAGTTGTTGTTGCTGCTGTACCAAATTCGCAATTAGCCAATCAGAAGCTATGTCTACTGTCCAGATATCCTGCTATGTCAGGATAGTCCTGGCCTGATCTGGCTACGATATCATGGTCACTTTGCTGAATTTGGGTATGGCATAATAATAATAATAATAATAATAATAATAATAATAATAATAATAATAATAATAATAATAATAATAATAATAATAATAATAATAATAATAATAATAAAATTAAAAAAATAATAATAATAAATTAATTTATTTTGCACTTTTTAACATACAATGATATAACTTAATTGTACCTTTTTGGTATACTTCTGTGTCATATCAAGCTATTTTCAACAAAGTGAATTTTCTGTGCTAGAAACGAAAAGAAGACTTGTAAATTTGAAAGCTTGTAAATTTACACAAGTGGCATACGTGTATATGTACGAATACATTGACGGACGACAACCAAAATTTTTTAGCTCGACGCATATGGGTTACTAAACTTTCTTAGCTATGGGTCTCTGCTTGCATACCCTCATGTACATTCAACATAGATTTTGTTTAATAACAATCATTTAATATGCACCAACTATCATTCAAATCATCATGTAACTTGATGGAGCACATTAATCATGATGGTACAATTTAAGGTTGTTTCTGACCTGGGATCAAAGACCAGTTGAATGTTTTCCATATATATCCATCCTTTATTTGTAGGATAACATGACATTCACTGCTCATGGTGCAGTTACTGGAGTAACTGATCAAGTTAGTACCATGCTGCTGCTTGGTTTATTCATATCTAGAGGTCTGGTTTCTACACTATTGTTGAAGCCAACTGAGTATGGCCTGATGGATGATGAACCCAGTAATCTTGGCATCTCTAACCTTAAGGTGAGGTTATGCAAAGTTCATTGAATACATTTAATGACATGCAAAATATGTAACAAGCCTGATGCAAATGCAAGGTTGATCAGATCAGTAGAGAAAGCTCTTGAAAGGATTTAATCCTTTAGTAAGCTTTATTCCTGGGATCTCTGTACATACAGCATAGCAGGATCCTTTCTTCCTTTGGACAATAGAAAGTTGTAGGTGACATTTCTGATGAAGTGACATCTTATGATTGGTGCGGTTACTAAATGGACATTTCAGATCATGTTTTTATTTATAGATAAGCAAAGTTCATCTAAAAGACACAGTTTGTGAGAGCAATAAGGACATTACTTTAAGCAGCCAAAGTTATGTGTAATCTTTTGTCCTTTATGTAGAAAGTTCTGCAAATGTTCCACAGTTAAATTTAGATTACTTTACTGTAACCAGCAAACAGGTTTTTTTGTGGAGAACCCCTGATTGCAGGTCAAATTTGAAACGTTTGTTGGGAAATTGGGTACTCGAAATCCTGGCCCTAGGTTAAATCTCACTTCCATGCTGATTGGAGCTACCTTTATATACTGAGGGTAAATAAAGGTTATGTTTGTATATTTATATTTATCAAGTGCTAAAAAAAGTGGTGTCAAGTGATCCAGAAAGAATGGCTGGATACTACAGGGCATAACTGTTTCGTCTAAAATAACTGTAAAATCTTGGGATGGAACATTTATGTTTCACTTGTAAGCATGCTGTCTCCACCAAATGTATTTCCATTAGTTCCAGTGGTGAAAAAAACAAAACAAAACAAAGCAAAAACACAATGATAAATTTTGTATGGCAAATAATAATTATGAATTAAGTCTGTCTTCTCTTTAGGTTTTGGGATCAATTCTTATGAAAGTCGTTCGTGAAGTGTCCCTGTCCAAGGGGAAAAGGATAATGGTGAGTTTACTTAAGGTGATTCCTCAGGTATTGCGTTGTGCATCCCTACTGCGCACGATTTTTGCGTCCTTTTTGACGCTCCTTTGATGAGTTGACTCTTAAACAAGCACCGTACCATATGTTTCTTTATCGCTCATTTCAAGTACTTGCATTATTAGGAACAACCACAGAAAAATTGAAAAAAAATTGTCACATGTTACTTCTAGGAAATCACCTTAAACTATAAGACAGTATTTGTTAAAGATTAAGTTGCAAATGGCATAATCAGTTCTTTATTTTTCTGGATGCTTCATTTTCAATAAAATTAGTGTAGGTAATTGTATGAATGCGAGTGCAATTAAGGATTTACACTACGAGTGATATTACAGTGTATTTTGAATTATTCTCTCAAAATTGCATGAGCCATTTAGGCAAGTGCAATTTGAAAGAATTTTTAAATATCACGAGTAGTGTAAATCCTTAATTGCTTGAGCTTTCATGATTAAGATTACTCATTTATTATATGACTGAGAAAATTCCAAACGCGTGTGCGTTAATTTGCACTGCAGTGCAAATTAAGAATTAACAATAAATTGGCCTCCTCTCAACCAGTCACAATGAAGTAATTTTCTCAGTCATTAAATTTCGTTAAATGTTAGAACAGTATATTTAAGTATTTATCACGTTCATTGCATGCAACAAAGAAACATGCTTTATGATTCCTGGCGAGTTTTTACGGTTTAGGAATCAGCTCTCAAAGTAGATTGCACGATAACTGTTTTATAAACCGTCTTGGATTTTTAACACTTATCAAAAAATTGAGTGAAATTAAATGAACGAAAATGAAACTATGAAAATCTTTGGAGACGCAACGCAAAGTACATGATAATCTGTTCTCCTTCAGGTCGATTGGCATGGGCACACACTTCAGAATCATTTATAAATGACATTCTTTAATTATCTTTATCAGTCGAAAGCATGGTAGCCTGAGAATTTTGTCAGATTGGTCAGGAATCTTCTGCATTCAGATACCTAAAATGTTTGAAGTTTAAACCTAACCTTGGAACGTTTTAGGTATCTTCCAGGAATGCAGCTCCTACAGTACATGCATGTGGTACAGTGACACCTGTATTAAGCGGACCCCATATTAAGCAGACACCCTCTTTTTTTTACTTTTTTCAACTCCTGATGGATTATTTGTTGACTTGCTTTGTAAAATCATGTTTTGGTCAATAAGTTGTGTGTGTTTTACGTATCCTATAAGAATCCTGCAAGCAAGCTGACTTGGAGTACCCACTACTTTAAGAGCTGCAAACAGAGCTTGCTCACATGCTACAAGTCTTGTAAACAAATTACATCAAGCACAACATTATAACATTCTAGATGTATTGCATGGTAAATACAAAGCTCTTTACCTTCACTACAATTTGCAAATTGTATTGAAATAATCCAAATTCTATCTTTTGCTTCCTGATTGGTTGGTATAACTCCTGGTTTCTCAGTCTTCAGTTTTTGCTACAGCAAATAAAACAATTTTTACGAGACTCGAGACTTGCATCACTTGTATCAGTGTGAAAGCATGGCGGGGATTATATCATACCCCTGCACTTTCCTGATCAGCCAAGATATGCCCCTGCAAAAGTTTAGTCGGGGTGGGAGGCACATTGGAGTCCTTACAGGCATGTCCAAATTTTGAAAAAATCTAGCTGCTGACGCATTTATACATAGATGATTTATACCTCTCAGGCAGACAAACTGTTCAGTATTCGTCTCAGATAGATAATTCTTCTCAGACAGATAATTCGCCCCTAGTTTAAATTCATCCACACCAACGTCCGAAAGACAGGACAAAAATTTGGATTGTTTTCTCACTGAATGCGTTAAGTGCGAGGGTATTGCTTTTACAATTCAGTGTATGTTACAAAAGGAAAGGTCCATAAATGTTTATTAAACTTGCTTCACTGGCCACAAAGTACTGTATTCGTCTCAGATTGCTTGCAATTGATAATGTCATTGATTTATTTACTATATTTTCATTTTTAAAATTGTTTTTAATTTTGTACATGCAGCCTCTGGCTTCCGAAATCAGTTCCCAACTATTTAGCGACAATGAAATGAAGTTTATTTACAAGAAACTCAACGAGTCATTGATTTGGTGTAAGGTGAGTTCCAAAAAATAATGTTGTAATCTGTTGAATGTGGTGCATATAGCTAATCCCAAGGTGGCTATTTCCTCATTTCCCTCCCAGGGATGTGCTGTGCTGAATATGGTATGCTTTTTGGCTTCAATATCCTGAAAAAGTTATATTGTTTTATGAGAGTCTGTTTGTGAACTTGAGGTAAACAGGGTGAGATTCCATTATTGTGGTCAAATATTTCATATGTAACACTCAGCAATCTGAAATCGAAGGCGTCTATTATAAGCCAACATGAAACAGTGTCGTATGGTTGTATGATCTGTATTTTCCTAGAAAAGGGTCCACTAATAGAGGGTGTTGTCCTTCACAGGTCCAGGAACTAGTTTAGGTTTTCTTTGTTCTAATAAACAAGGTTAGGGTCTCAAACCTTGACTCAAACATACCGGCGTGAATAAATGGTATGCTACATGTTGATTTGGTTCAAGGCCAATAAGAAATACATGCAAGTCTACCCAATTATAATGTACTGGATTACTTGACTCCCGATAACTCGAACCTTCAAGGGAAATTGAAAAAGGATTGATTTTTCGAGAGTTCCAGTTATTGGGGATTGAGAACAAATGTCTGGAAATAAGGAAAAAACAGTGTTTATTGTTTCTCTATTCATGCAGTGTACATTTTAACCAAATTTAATTACAGAGAAGTTGAGTGAAAATAAAACAATACATCTCTAGATTACTGTATACACTGGAACGTAACGTAATGTGAAAAATATAACAAAGGATAGCAACAGGGAGAAGTCCAGGAACTGTGAATTGTACTGTA